GGCTGAGCCACCCAAGTGCCCCTCCATTAATTTTTTTTTTTATTTAAAAAAAATTTTTTTCAACGTTTTTATTTATTTATGGGACAGACAGAGACAGAGCATGAACGGGGGAGGGGCAGAGAGAGAGGGAGACACAGAATCGGAAACAGGCTCCAGGCTCCGAGCCATCAGCCCAGAGCCTGACGCGGGGCTCGAACTCACGGACCGTGAGATCGTGACCTGGCTGAAGTCGGACGCTTAACCGACTGCGCCACCCAGGCGCCCCAATTTTTTTTTTTTAAATAAAATTTAAAGAATGCAGGTGCCTGGTGTCTCCAAATATGCTAGGACTGGGCCTGGAGGCTGTACTTCTAACCAGCAGGGGGTGCTGACACCCTGGTTCTGCACTTTGAGAAACCCTGAGATGGGAATCCTGACGTGAATACTGGTGGAGGAAGGGTCCCCAGGGGATGTCGGATGGGGGTCCCTCCCCTACCCCTCACTGCCCCAGCGACAGACTCCAGAGGACCGCTCCCTCAGGTGTCTGTTCCCGATTCACTCCCTGCTTCTTTTGATACACTGTGGCTTCCTCTCAAAATTGGACTCCTCCTCTCTTGTTTTCTTGTTTTTGTTTCTATAATAACATTATGGCAACACACAGCCCTCTCTCTCCCAACACACACCCTCAGGACCACTGCACTTTGGGTGTGTTCTTTGAATTACTGCTCAGAGCATTATTATATTTTACTTATCATGTAACAGTTAGCATTTATTGGGGGATTTGGTTTTCTCAAAATTTCTTTAAAAGTTTATTTTGAGAGAGAGCACGTTCGAATGGGGGGGAGGTTGCAGAGACAGGGAGAGAGAGAGAATCCCAAGCAAGCTCTGCACGGTCAGTGCCAAGTCCAATGCGGGGCTCAGCTCAAACCCACAAACCATAAGATCATGACCTGAGCTGACACCAAGAGTCAGAGGCTTAAGCGACTGAGCCACCCAGGCGCCCTATTTAGGTCACCTTTAATTTCTTTAAGCGGCTGAAGGAAGAGTGGATGGAAAGCAAGTATATATGCATAATGTTGGCTACAGCGACCCTCTTATTTGTCACTTCTGGTTCTCTTCATTTGTTCATGCGACTGGAGTTACCATCTGGTGTCACTTTCCAGTCCAATGTAATTTTGTTCCCACCCACCTCTTTTGGGCTCTTATTTATAAGTGTGTTAGGTCTATACGTTCAGTGCCCAGTATACAATTGCATGCTATTGCCCACTTACTTTTTATATCGGCTAAGAGAAGAGATATGTATTTAACCGTCTTTTGTATGACACACCAGTGCTTTGCTTCTTCGTGTCGATTCAGATTACTGTTAGGGATCATGTGCTTTTGGTCTTGAGAACTTCCTTTAGTTTTTTTTACAAAGCAGGTCTGCTAGCAGTGAATTCTTTCTGTTTTTACCTGGGAAATGTCTTTATTTTGCCTTTAGTTTTGGAAGATAGTTTTGTTGGATATGGGATTCTTGGTTGACAGATGTTTCCCCCAACATTTTGTTTTTTTTTTTTATTTTATTTATTTTTTTTTTTAAATT